CGAATCGCGGCCGCTATTATTGCATTTTTTGGTCGGCGAATCGCGGCCGCTATTATTGCATTTTATGGTCCGCGAATCGCGGCCGCTATTATTGCATTTTTTGGTCCGCGAATCGCGGCCGCTATTATTGCATTTTTCCGGCTGAAAACCACCGTCGGGAAGAAAAAATGATTTTTTAACTACAACAATAAAAAAAACAACAAACAAACAAAAAAACCAAAAAAACAACGGGGAATAATATTCGGGAAGAGAAAGGAGCCCAACCAACCTCTTTACTTTTAGAAAGAAAGTTTATTTTCATGTTCGCTTCACTTCGTCTCTTTCTCACTCGTTAACACTAACACTACTTTGAGTTGTAATTTTCATGTGAAAAATATAAGTATGCTACATTACTGTAATTACATACTATTTATCTTGCTGTTTCTCTTTCATGTCTCCCTCTTTGTTGTGTTTTGATTTGTTGGTGTATTAATTTTTTAAACTTGTTATTGTTCTGGTGTGTTGTTTTATTTTTATTGGTGTTTATATAGCGTAATGTTGTTCCTACTTTAAAAAATTTTTTAATGTGTTATGTTAGAGCGTGTCTCCTCCAAAACCGAATACTGACACTGGCAGACCCATTGTGTGTGATTCCATCTATATCCTGTACTTTTTCTTGAATTACGCACGTTTAGGGTTAAAACGGCCAGTCTATGGATGGGTTGACACACGCTCTTATTTGTTAATATTTGTGGTTGTTTATGTGCTGTTCTAATTTGATTTCATTCTGTTGGGAAACCTTTATTTTAGACGTTTTTAGACTGTGTGTGGCTACAAATGATATTCTAGATGCTTAAAACAGAGCGCAAAAAAATCTGGTGTTTCAGATTAAGTAACCTCTATTGTATTAACGTATTGCTATATAATATACGTCGTCACAGAGAGTTGAAAGTTTGAAAATGAATGGCAACTTTTTGGGCAACTTTTGCTATTTTTGTGTCAACTTTTTGCAACTTTTGGACGCAAAATAGCAACAAATGCAGATGCTTGTTTATTGCAACGTGAAGAAAATGGTCTGACTGAGCTAAATACGACGTAGAACGTGCAAGACGTTTATCAACTACTCGTTGCCTTAAAATTACAAAATTCTATCTGCTCATGACATAATGATGAGAATTTTGACATAAATTAATAATTTTGAATTTCACAACATGTCAAGATTCTTCGAATTCGAACGCAATTCTTTGAATACATAATATGTGAGGCAGCGTGGTGGAATCAGGCTCTCGTTAATTTTTGGGCATATTGAGTTATTGGTATCATCTTAAACTTGTTCATTTGTCTTGTTTCCAATGAAAAAATTACCTATCCATCTTTGATTGAAATGGAGATATTTTGGATTGAAGGAGGTGGGGGTCACCTGATTTAAGAAAAAACACTAGCGAAAAAATGGCCTCCAAAGCTTGGTAAATTCCAAAGCTGGAGAGTCCATGGAGACTGTAAATTTATATTTTTGTGCCTTTAATCAACGTTTTCGGTGAAATCCTCAAAGGAATGTGTTTGTAAATGGACATAAAAGGTGTTGAGCCGAAAAACAAAAATTTGATAAAAATTGCTAGGCAGGGAGAAAAGGGCTGTTTTCTTCGATTTCATTATTTTGACGAGAGCCTGATTGCACCGCGCTGCCTCATATATGTATCTTGATAATGACCCTGACTGGTCTGACGTTTTTGATAGAAAATTTGGTTTCTGACCTCATGAGTATTTTCTATTCTTTAAAAAGAAATAAAGTTTAGTTCTGTGTGTATCAAAAGCAGCAATAAAATCAACCATTTCCACCCAAGAAAGATAGTAAGTTTAATCCAAAATCTTGGTAACTTACTACAGTCAAAATGTCACGACGCGCTGGAATCAGGCGCTCGTTAATTTATTGACATGTAGAGTTATTGGTATCACATTAAGGTTGGTTCATTTGTCTTGCTTTCCGTGAAAAAACACCCATCTATCTAAAAAGAAGTCACGTTGTTTGCGATTGGAGGAGGTGGGGTCACCTGGTTTCAGAGGTAAAATTAGCGAGAAAATGGCCACCAAAGTTTGGTGATTTTCATAGTTTGAAAATTCTTGAAAAATGAAATGCTGCATATTTTTGTGTGCCTTTCATCAACGTTTATCAGTATAATACTATGTTTTTAAATGGATTCAAAAGATGTAAACCAAAAACAAAAAATTTGATATATTTGTCAAACCCGTGCAGGAAAGTGCCGGTTTCTTGGATTTAACCTTTTAATTTTATGACGAGCGCCTGATTTCACCACGATACCTCACAAATGGCACAGTGGGGATTGAGGGAAAGTAGAAAAAAATGGTTAATAAGAAAAGTAAGACGGGGAGGGAAAAAGATGAGAATAGAACAGAATAACAACAAGCAAAAAAAATGGAGAAAAGAAAAGAACGAGAAAAAGAAAAGGAAAGAAAAAAACGAGAAAAAGAAAAGGAAAGGAAAGTAGAGAAAAGAAAAGAAACAGAAAGAAAAAAAAAACAAGAAAAGAAAACAAAAGAAGTAAGAAATTCAAAAGGTAGCGAACTTACTACTCCACTCGCATCTAGCACTGGTCACCCCTCTCCCCCCACAGCCGATTGCCCAGCGCCTGTCTTCTCTTCTTTTGGAATGATAACTTTTCACCAAGTTGACGTACTGTCCTCTGGGACACTGGAACTCGTGGTCCTGGTACCATATGTTCTGCCAGTGGATAGGTCTCCTGGCGTGGGCCAGGCACAGGATGGTGGACACCACCAGGAAGGCTAGGCTCAGCCTTATCATAGCGATGCTGAGTTGCTGGGTCTGTCTGAGAAAGGAAAAATGATTTGGTTTGTCTGAGAAAGGAAAAGCAATTTGGTCTCGTTTAGACACCACCAGGAAGGCTAGGCTGAGCCTAAGCATAGCGATGCTGAGTTGTTAGGTCTTTCTGAGAAAGGAAACATTATTTGGTTTGTCCGAGAAATGAAACATTGTTTGGTTTTCTGAGAAAGGAAAATGATTTGGTTTGTCTGAGAAAGGAAAAATTATTTGGTTTGTGTGAAAAAAGAAAAGCAATTTGGTCTCGTTTAGACACTACCAGGAAGGCTAGGCTGAGCCTAAGCATAGCGATGCTGAGTTGTTGGGTTTGTCTGAGAAAGGAAATATTTTTCTGGTTTGACTGAAAGTGAGAAAGGAAACATTTGGTTTGTCTGAGAAAGGAAAAATTATTTGGTTTGTCCAAGAAAGGAAAAATGACTTGGTTTGTCTGAAAAAGAAAAACAATTTGGTCTCGTCTAGACACCACCAAGAAGGCTAGGCTGAGCCTAAGCATAGCGATGCTGAGTTGTTGGGTCTTTCTGAGAAAGGAAACATTATTTGGTTTGTCCGAGAAATGAAACACTGTTTGGTTTGTCGGAGAAAGGAAAAATGGCATGTATTTGGTTTGTCTGAAAAAAGAAAAACAATTTGATCTCGCCTAGACACTACCAGGAAGGCTAGGCTGAGCCTAAGCATAGCGATGCTGAGTTGTTGGGTCGCTCTGAGTTTAGTTTAGTTTTAGTGTTTTACGGCATTTGCAACATTACAAGATCATATAAGTGCCGAAGATCAGAGATGTTACAAGAGAGTAACAAACACAAAAACGAAGGAAGGAGGGGAGATAAGGACAATAGAGATGTTTGATGAAAGAAGAAGCAAACCACACCAGAGCCCCCGCCAACCGGCTACAGTCTGTTTGAAAAGGAAAAATTATTTGGTTTGTCTGAAAAAGAAAAACAATGAAACATTTGGTCTGTGTGATGATACTTTTATTTGGTCTGTTTGAAAAGGAAAACTTACTTTGTCTGCCTGAAATGCGTGAACAAATATTTTGGGCTGTCTGAAAAAACAAAATTTATTGGGTCTCTCAGAAGAAGAAAAATAAACAGAAAAACAATTCGATTCAGAAGTGAGGCAGCGTGGTGGAATCAGGCTCTCGTCAACTTTTGGGCATGTAGAGTTATTGGTGTCATCTTAAAGCTTGTTCACTTGTCTTTATTTCAATGTAAAAAAAAAATCCATTTATCTTGAATACAAGTCGAGATATTTGTGAATGAAGGAGGTGGAGGGTCACCTGTTTTCAAATTTCAGAGGTAAAATTAGTGAGAAAATGGATGCCAAAGATTGGTTATTTCCTTAGCTTAAGAGTCCGTGATAACTGAAAATTTACAATTTTTGTGAGTTTAATCAACGTTTTTAAGAAAAATCCGTACAGAGATGAGTTCTTTAATGGGCATGAAAGATGTTGAGCCAAAAAATAAAAATTTGATGAAATTCACAAACCTACGGAAAAATGCAAGTTTCTTAACTTTGATTATTTTGACGAGAGCCTGATTCCACCACGCTGCCACTCAACGGTCTGTCTAAGAAAGAAAAATTATTTGGTCTGTCTAAAAACCAAAAAAGTAACCCTCTCTTGAGCATTGTCATATAGACTAACATTTTTTTGGGTCTGTCTAAATGGGAAAAATTTTAAAAATTGGCCTCAGTATAATGAGGATGGGTTATAATTTGATCTGTCTGAAAAGGAAAAAGAAGAAGTTTCGCCTCAGTATGGTACATTAATACTTTCTGTGGGTAACAGTAAAAAGTTATCCAGCACTCTCTAATTTTCTATTTATGCTGTGAACCGCAAAATACTGTTCTAAGACCTTTTGGTTTCAGCTTTCACAAACTGACAAGGGAAACTTGAACATTACAAAGTATCAAAAGTATAAAATGTAACGACCAACAGCCACTAGCTAATGTTTTTCCTGTAGATCTACGTGTCTCCTCTCCACAGAATGTACAGCTCACAGTTTCCAGTCCACCTTTATATATCTTGTCCACAGCTGCTATCGTTTAATCAAAATTAGTTCGACTAGTCCCATGTCACGTAATGTGGAACCTGATATAGGAAGCCAAAACAAAAAAACAACAATACAAACAAACAAAAAACATCTAAAAAGCAAAAACTAATTATTCCAAAAACCCCACCCCAAAAAAAAGAAACACAAATAAATTTAAAAAACAAAAGCAATTTTCAGCACATTAAAAAAAAGGAGAAAAGTAACGGTCTACTTTAGCCCTTGATTTGGAGCTTATTTGCACTACAATACACATCTTAGGTTTCAAGTCTATGTGGGGCCAAAAAAAAAGAATTTGTGGCTAAAGCTTTTTTTTTTTAAGTTGGTGTTTTTATGCCCAAGTTGACAAAATACCGATTATTAATTAGGCGGGCTGCTCCGCTGTTTCATTAGGAAAGTCACTTCACAATAATTTTCCGGACTTCACCCTGGTTAAATGAATACCCTTCAGGGAACCATAATAATACTAATAAT